GAAATGTATATGCTTACAAGAACTGGTATATACTGTATACACGCATACACACAACAAAAGAAAGAGAAGAAAATGCAGCATGAAATTCTCAAATATTTTGTGCTGTGCATTAGAGCACTGTGGCTATTGATACATAAGACAGCGCAAATGCTTTCACAGCTGTGGAGAAGAAAGAAAATGATTAAAGGATTTCACAGACCGTTAGTTTCGTTTTGCTTTATAAAGAGGTTGATTGGAACTAATGAATTTGTGCTTCAGTTTGATTTCTTTGAAACACACACAAACACCCCACACATGGATACCCGCCCGTGTGTGTGTGTGTGTGTGTGTGTCTGTGTGTGTGCACACACACACACATGTGCACATCAGAGAGTTCTTCAGAGTATTCCACAAAGACAAGCAATTTCTGAAAGGCCCACTGGAAAAAGCAGTTTTTCCATTTTCAGAGGTTACAGGTCAGCACATCTAGAGAGAAATACACCCGGTCTTCTTATGATGAATTTCTTTTATATCTGAACACAAAAGTCAAATGCAGCTATGCTCTGGTTCACTTTATGGTCACACATGAAAGAGATCAATAAATCATAAGACAGCTTACTTCAATAAGTCTCGAACTAAGAATTTATGAATGTACCACAGATTTTTCTGGTATAGCTTCTACCTAGAGACAAAAATATTCTTAATTCCTCTCAAGTTCAGACACTCTAACAACTGAACTCTAAAAATTCCTCAACTACATGAGACTGAAGTCCACTGATCCTGTGACTTCTCACCAGCCTTGACCAATCCAAATTCCAGACTCAAACCCCCTGATCTTTCTTGCATGTGACCTCAATTACCTGTTCCCTCACTCAATCACTCATCTTCTTTCAGAAAAGTAATAATCCCAGTTAAGCCCATTTATCTGCCTCTCTGGAATCTGAATCCATGCAAAAGGAAAAATAGAGACTAAAAATGAAAGAAAAATTGAACCAAGCCTGATGGTTCACACCTGTAATGCCAGCACTAAATTGAGACAGGAGAATAATGAGTTCAAGAGGAGCTTGGGCTATAAAGCAAGATAAATAATAATAAATTAACTAAACAAATAAATGAATCTTTCTCTATGCTGTTGAATTAATTTAGATAAGAAATTATTATCATCAAATCTGGGCCTTAATGATACGCGGTAATTCCGTATTTCTAAACTTCAGATTTTCTCCAATCTATTGCCTTATGCCGTTCATTTGTCTATACCATTCCCATTCTGGTTATGTCCCTGCTTTCTATATCACCAAGGAAACAAGATATCCAGTCAGGATTTGCATAGCTCCAGCCACTGTGTCAGCCCACTCATGTACACCCAGTGCCTTGCCTCTCCTCGAAAGCCTACCTTCTGTGCAATGTGCTGTTTCCCACACCACAGTATTTCCTGGGCTCCAACCAGCTCCATATCCCTGCCCAACTACCTTCTCTGTTTCTGTCCTTGCCTGTTAAGCAAAATTCAACTGCAAGTTCTGAGATTCTTCCTTGAACCACTTCTCAGTTTTAAGGCACAAAATGCTTTTAGCATTTTCACAGGTTCTGCTAGTCCCCATTTACTCTCCTATCTCTTAGAGCTGAACTTTTATGAATAAATCAGAGCTTTACCCTGTGCCCTCATTCATTTTCCTTTTTTGCATAAGCCTCCTTTTCCTTTCTTTTATAGGAAACTATACATACGTATCTGATTAGTAAGACTTTGTTTATGATTACTAGGTCAAAAGTATTTTATGTGACATTTTTAATCTTAATTTTTGTTTTTTGGTTGAGGTTTTTCCCTAGTACTATAATCCATTTATCTTCTTCATTCATTATACTCCACTAGACACAGATCCATTCATGCTATTTTAGTAATTTTTGGCTGCTACTAGCTTCTACATTCTGCCTCATCTTCATCCACATTTGGTCCCTCAGAATAACACCCAGATAACCAATAGCTGCTTGTCAAACACTGCTCCAAGCCATCTATTCTGCCAAGGGCCCCAAGGATTCTATTTCCCCACATCCTACCTCCTTAAGCTCCTTGTCTCTTCACCCCCAATGTGCACCTCTCCTAGTCTTCCCCATTTCATTAATACTACTCCCACTCTGCCCTATATTCATGTCAGGGATGCCATGTCATATGACGATCAAGTGTCTGAGATAGTCTCTCAAAGCCGATCAGTTTCTTTCCTTTTTTTTCTCAGTCTCCTCTCATTGACAGTTAACAAAATGACTATCATTTCTTTTACCATCATTCCCAATACTCCCTATTATGGGAACCATGTTAAAAGTGTAAGTTATCTAATTCTACTGATCTGCTTAAACCCATCCAATGGCTTCCATCTCAGTCTAAGGGAAAGCCTAAATAACTGCACTTGACTAAAAGGCCTAGCATGATTTACTGCCTGTATAGTTTTAATCCATGACCCCAATCTCAGCTTAATGACACCTCACACTGTTTCCTAAATACCTCAAGCCACTCTTTCCAGAGGGTTTTCCTGGCCCCTGGACACTCCCTCATCCCATGTATTCAGTTGACAACTGTAATAATATTTGCTCGTTCTTCCAGATTCCATCTTTTCTCATACTCAAATTCTTGTCTTTATTGAATACAGGGACAAAGGTGTTTAGAGCAAGCCTTTAAAGATGTGTGTCTGTGCTCCAAACCAAGGTCCTCTGCAAGAACAACTGCCTTAACCTCTAAGCCATCACTCTGAGCCCTCAATTAAGTTTTCTTGTGACTGGTTGATTACTAGGAATCTCACTTTCTAGAATGCAAAGTCTATGATGAATTGCCCATGCCTATTTTTCACTTGTTTTTGTCTTAAGACTCCTCTTTATGTGGGTTACTCAGCGAAGGTGAACCAAGCAAAAGAAAACAATCAAACAACCTGCCCTGTGATGCTTCCTTTGTCTTTGTTGTCTGTTTCTCCGGTTTCCCCTGGGCTGCTCAAGAACCTTCCAAATTGCCGAATTCATTTCTTCTACCCTCCTCCTCTTCCCCCTCATCCTCATCTTTCTTATCCTTTAGTTTTTACTGTCTTGATACATGGCCTGAAACTATAGCCTCGGTTAGCCTTGAATTTACTATTCCAAGACTGTCTTCAAACTCAAATCTTTCCTGTTTATACTTCTCAGCGCTGGAGTCGGGAGGAACCAGCAAACTCGGTCAGGAATTTTTCTGATTTTCAACTACACAGGACAGAGAGAACCCAAGGCTTTTATCATGCTTAGCAAATGTGTTGTAACAGAGCACCACCCAGCATTATGGAGTATATTTCCTGACAGTGATTTAAACCAATTTGCCTGTATTTCCTACTTGAGCTATAATATCCTGCTTTAGCAGTTAGCTTTGACTCCCCCGGTAACTGTTCCAGGATTCCCATTCATATATCTATGCTTCCTTAACAAAATGGATCGATTTCTTAACTGTTCAGCTTGAATCAAAACATGTATGTCCACCACCTGCACAGAACAATGTCACTCACTAAAGCGGAGAGCGGACAGAAAGGCAAGGAAAATAAGAGAGGCATGAGAAAGCAACAGAGCCTGTCACATCCCTGGATCTGGGTTAAGTCTCTCACAAGCTGGAAGTCAGGAGTTTCAATACAACTAATAAAAATTACAGTGAATATCACCTACATATAGATTATTTTTTTTTTCAGAAATGCTTCAGAGTATTAAAACAGCTAATAAACCATGCTTAAGACCAAAACAAATGTGACCTTTGAGTTTAACCTTACTTTTTTCTCATCCATAAATCTGTTTTTCTGAGAAAATTTCACAACAAGGTTAAGAAGCACATTTATTGTCCAAACTTATGTCTTCACCTCTTTTTGACCCCTGTTTATGGAAGGAATTCCTTTGACTTTTTCTGACTTCATGTTTTTATTTAATCACCTGTTCTTTCTCATCTTAAACTTGTGTTAACACAGAGATAAGCCTCCATGTAGTCTTTTTTTACAAAAGTATTCAGATAAAAATAAGCATATCAAAACATTATTACATAATCTTTTCTACTCAGAGATAGTTTATATCCTTTGTAAAATGCAATCTAAAAGCTTCCAGAGGCCAAACACTTCTTGCCTTGCCATGTCTCTGGTTTATGCTACTCTCCTTCCCTTCAGTTTTCTCTCTTTCTCCTTTCTTTTCTTTTTATGGGGTCTTACAGGCCCCAGTGTAGCCTGAAACTTGCTATGTAGCCAACAATTACTTTGAACTCCTGGATCTTCCTGCCTCTGCCTGCTGAATGTCAGGGTTACAGGTATTTGCCATTGTGCATTGCTCCTCCTGAGGTTATAGTCACTATTGTCAGTCAAGACCCAGAAGCACAGAGCTCCCTAGGAGTTACTCAGCAGTGCCGGAAGAACACTCCTGGATTCCAATCTCCTGCAGTCAGTGAGGGAATGGGATGCCCTAAATTCAGTGCCCAAGTTCTCAGTGTAAGCGGAAGAAATTGCTTTCCTTCCTAAAAAGGGGTCTCTGGGGGAGGGGACATGAAGAGCTGCATTCCACTGTTTCTCCTCTTCCTCACCACCATGGCTTCAATGGGTTCAAAGAAAAGCCTGTGGCATTCCACATTCACGCATGAAATTATATGTGCAAAATAGCCTCAGACTATAGTGCTTAGACTATATGGACCCAACTACTAATTCTTCTTGTAAAGCTGTTAATCTCCGGATGAAAACAACTACAATTAATTGAAATAAGAAGAAAAATGCCAGCGTGTTATTCATAGATGTCAAAGTAACATTATATTTACTGCAATAAAATGCTTTCTGCCCCTGTAACTGATGCACCTCTGTCTAAGCACTGGTTGTGCTAAGCTGCTTTTAATTTGAAGTCAGATCTATAGCTCATCCCAGTGCTTGGGACAAAGCAGCCAGGTCTCTGGGCAGTTTTCTGACTTGTCATCAAAGAGCTGTGAAAGAAAGCAGAACAGCCTGCCTCGCAGTCTGGGTTCCATCTCAAGATGTCCAAAGGATCAAAACAATTACCTCTTCGAGGACATCAGCCAACTTGCTGAGGATTTCATCAGGAAGGCTCTGGAATGTTGGAACGCTGGAAAACAAAGCAGAAAGTGATGCTGAGCACCTGCATGGCAGCTTAACATTACAAATATGTCTGCATGAAAAATACAAACATATTTCATGATTAAGAATCTACAGAGGATGACCATGTGATCTAAGGAATCATCGCAGTGTATATGACATCTAGCAAGGAGAAAGTATATATCCTCATCAGGGCTTCTATTGCTGTGGTGAACACCATGAACAAAAGCAAATTAGGGAAGAAAGGGTTTATTTGGCTTATACCTCCATATCACTGTTCATCATTGGAGTAAGTCTGAACAGGAACCCCAGACAGGGCAAGAACCTGGAGGTAGGAGCTGATGTGGAGGTCGTGAAGGGATGCTGCTTGCCGGTCATGGTTTGCTCAGCCTGCTTTCTTACAGAACCCAGGACTATAAGCCCAGGAATGGCTCCACCCACGATAGATTGAAGCCTCCACCATCAATTACTAATTAAGAAAATGCTCTACAGGTTTGCCTGCAACCCAGTCTTACGGAGCCATTTTCTTAGTTGAGGTTCCTTCCTCTCAGAAGACTCTTAACTTGTATCAGGTTGATATAAAACCACGTAGTACACCTGACCCCTAGTCAACTTGACCCACAAACATATGACTGCCAAGCCACAAACTTTACTTTCTTATTTACCCTCAAGATCACATATTAACATAAACATCACAATATAAAACATTCTACAAACTTAAAAAAAAGTCCCACAGCCTTACAAATTTAAATACTTTAAAAGTTCAATCTCTTTTTGAAAACCCATAATCTCTTTCAAAATTGTAGTGAACTCCTATAAAATAAAAAAATAAATAAATTAAATACTTTTTTTTTTCAAGAAGAAAGAATCAGGGTATAATCATAATCAAATCAAAACAAAACTGAACTCCAACTTGCAAATGACTTGGTGTTTAATGTCTGGGATCCACTCATGATCTTCTGGGCTCCTCCAAAGGTCCTGGGTCACTTCTCTGGTTCTGCCCTCTGCAGCTTGTCTTCTAGCTCTCAGCTGCCTCCACTCTACTACTGCTGCCGTTCTTGGCGGTCATCCCATGGTACTGGCACCTCTAAAATGCTAGGGTCTCTTGCTACAATTGAGCTGCACTTTCATCAGTAGTCTCTGCTGGGCTCTCTTCATGGACTCCACCCCTGCCACACTGTGCCAAGCCTCAGCTGATCCCCACGACCCCTTCATGCATTCAAAACCACTGTTACCTGGGTGATGCTTACACTATGAAGTCCAGCTGTCAGCACAAGGTACAACCCTGGCCGCTGCCTCTGCAGCACAGCTTCTGTGTGGTGATCCTGAGAAAACACTTTCCAAACGTCTTCACCTCAATGACGTTGCTCTCTTCTTAATCACAGCTCATTCCTCAGCCCCAGCTGACCAGCATCCATTATCCACAGAAGCACAGGTTTTACCTTAGTGACTGGGGTCTCCTGTTAACCCCAGCTGATTCATCAGTTCCTACTCACCAGACACCACAAATTCTTCACACAAATGGCCTGATAGAGTCCTTGTTTCCCACTGAAATGTCACAAGCCAGGCCTCCAGCATCTTGCTCTCAACATTCCTATCTTCCAAGCTCCTACAGAACATCCCACTAAGTTCTCAATACTCAATGACTTTCCTAGCCCAAAGTTCCACAGTCCTCCCATATTCCTCTCAGAAACAACATTCAGGTCTGCCACAGCAATACCCCACTATCTGGTAACAATTTCTGTCCTAGTCAGGGTTTCTATTACTGTAATGAGCGTGGTAACTGAAAGCAAGTTGGGGAGGAGAGGGTTTATTTGACCTACATTTCATATCTTAGTCCATCACTGAAGAAATTTGGGGCAGGAACATGGAGACAGGAGCTGATATAGAGGCCATGGAGGGACGTTGCTTACTGGCTTGCTGAAATGGCTTCTCAGCCTAATTTCTTATAGAACCTAGGACCACCAGCCTAGGGATGGCACCACCCACAATGGGTGGGTCCTCCTCCAATTACTAATTAAGGAAATGCTACACAGGCTTGTGATCTACAATTAGGTCATCTTTCTGGAGGCACTTTCTCAATCAAGGCTCCCTGATCTCTCATGGCTGTAGCTTGTTTCAAGCTGACACAACACTAGCCACAGTATGTTGCAAAAAAACATTAATAAATATGAGCTTAGTGTTTGGACACTACAGGTCAATCCACACTTTTATTTATTTATGTGACTTTGAAGGTCTCAGCCATTATGGGAGACAACCACTCTCTCACTCTCTCTGTCTCTGTCTCTGTCTCTCTCTCATCAGTCTCCTCTCACCAGATTTCACCCAGCTCCTCCTCCTTTTCCCAAGTTCTCCTACGTACACAATTTTCTCTATGCTAGCATCTATCCACCCTTTAAGATATTTTAATTGATGAGTGATTGTGACCTGAAGGCGTTCTTCAACATCTGTTGTCCTCAGCCCCTCTCCGAAGTGAGAGTCTCCTGTCTTGATTCTTTTATGTTTTTCTTTAGTTCAAAGTCTTGGTTCTAGCCTAGGACAAACTAGAGAGACACGCTTGCCTTTGAGGGACACCCAGCCCCTGCGTTCCCTTATTCTAACTTAATTAAATAATAGTTGTGTTTATAGCGTGTGTTTATGAAACACAAGAACTGTATGTGATTCGTAAGTCATAAGTTCAGCAGCGTTTGTTGAGTGAAGCTATGGAGGCACTGACTGTGAATGCTCCATAAGTCAATGATAAGAGAACAACTCTGAGATGTTCTAACTTGCATGAATGAGAATTCCAGCAAAGAAGCTGTGACTATAGAACCTGACGAATTGATTAGAACTTCAGTGATACGGAGAGGTTGGCACGTTACAAGTCCAGAGCCAAATTACCTTAGGCCATTTTTAGCACTCTTAATCACCATCCTCTGTACGTGATCTGACATCCTGGTGACTTTTAGTTAAATCCTGTGGAATGCAACAGAACAGGACAGAACCCTAATGTCCATCACTGAAGGACTAAAAATGCTGTCAAATAGTTTCTGACCCCTCCAGACCCTGCTTTGCTATAACCCACCTACATGGTGTACCCAGCAACAAAAGTAACAAAATTGCCACCTCACTAGAATATGATATTTGGAGAAACCCAAAGCTGTGTTCTTGGGCCATGGTCACTCATATTTGCCCTCTAGAACAAGCCATCTCTTTCATTTCTTTGAGATGAGAGCTGTTTCACTGACATTTTATGACAAAGGGCTAGAGGACAGGAAATGCAGATCGAATACAAGGGGTGGCCACAGCTATATACCCAAAGAATAAGGCAATTTGACATTTTGGAATAGATGCTAAAGCTTTAAATCTCCTCAGAAGCAGATAGTATGATCATTGGTCCCATGTTCATAGGTAAACTTGGCAGACTATTAAGCTAACCAAACCAGTTCAGGGGGCACCATTGCTTGTCCCTGTAGACTCCTTTCCCAACCCTTCCCATTTCAGCCCTGAGTTCCCTGCCCTCTTAGCACAGTCAATGAAAATTCTTCTACAAAACTGACAAAAGATGTTCTAAACTCTGTCCCTGACCAAGGGCAGTTTGAATTGCCTCCTTGCCCTGCTCTTGACCATTGCAGGAAACAGTCCCATAACCCAGTCCTTTGTTTTCCTGGCTAGCATCTGTGAGCTTCGATAAACCTGCATTATAAGGGCTTTGCTTTGAGAAAATGTATTCATATTAGACAGGACTCCCATGGATATGATGCAAATGTCTGTTTCCTTCATCTCACCCAGTTTCCCCATGAAACTATTGAATGATGTCAAAGGTGCAAACTGAAAGAACTTCATTTTATTATATATTTGCTTGGTTTTGTTTTGTTGAGGCAGGATCTCACATTATATCCTGGGCTGGCCTTTGAACTCATGGCAACCCACCTGCCTCACCCTCCCAAATGCTAGCCTTAGCATCATGCAGCACCACACTCAGCCCAAACATCATTTATATGTGAACTAATGAATGATGAACTAAAACTCATTAAGTGAGGTATATTTCCTGAAAGTCTAGTGAAAATGCCAGCTGGGGTGTAGAACTAAAATCCCATTTACTCAGATTTCAGTGCTTGAGTGGAGAGACTACAAATGAGGGTGTGTACATTTGTGTGCCTGATAGCTGATTTATAGCACAGTTTCAGGTTGACGAGAGTAATGCAATGAAACAAGCATGAGCGTCTGATGTTAATTTGTCACTCTAATTCCCTTTACTTAGGGAAAAGCCTATTGATAAATTTCCAGGGTTTATGCAGAGGTGTAACAGCTCACCCAGGACCACCTGTTCCACCAGACTGACTGCCCTGGTCTGAGGCAGGGGGGGTTTAATTTCCAGAAGGCAATCAGTTTCAACAGCTGAAATGGATGGAAGATGATTGCACAAGCGGTTCTCAACATGTGGGTCGTGACCCTTCTAGGGCTCCCACATTTACAGTACAATTCATAACGTTAGCAAAATTACAGCCATGAAGTAGCAACGAAATAATTGCATGGTTGGGGTCAACACAACATGAGGAACTGTATTAAAGGGTCACAGTGTTGGGAAGGTTGAAACCACTGAGCTAAAGAGCGCTTGTTCCCTAGGTTCTGTGGGTTGAAGAATCTGCCCCCCCCACTCCCTTGTTCTTTTGATGAATTCTATTTCAACTCTTCAGATGTGAGATTATTATAGTGTTTCTACCACGTTAAGTATTTGTGGAAAACAGACACTGCAACTGAGTTTTATGACTGGGTGCTGCCTTTAAAGCTCCTGTTACTTCTGCAGACCAGCTTCTGTGTAAATATAGGCTGCATGTAAAGCATGCTGGACTTTCAATGCCATGAGAGCTATTAGCCATGAGGGAAAAAAAAATAAAGAAAAACAACAACGGCAGTACTTCCTTGACTGTGCAGCACATTAAATGAAGGCAAAAATGATTGGAGTAAAAGGGCATTTTCAAGTTATTGTGTTTTATAATTTTAGATGTTTCAAAACACTGGGCCGGA